CTCAGATATAGTACAGCAGGGCAGGTCTAGCTGAAGAGGAGTCGCTGGGATGGGTTGTTTGTGGCACGTACTACGGCCACCAGGGCAAGCCGATAATCAGTGCAGGGCAGGTGCCGGTAGGCCGTGCCTGTGCTGCTTGGTGGTATGATGTTCACCGCGTGGTGCAGGTAGGCAGGATGGAGGGGGGAGACTGTGATGTGTGGAGCTAAGATGAGTATGGGAGAGAGAGAGGAATGGGAGCCAAAAACATACTAACAAAAAAGAGTGCTAGGGGAGGAGCTTGCCATTGGATTGGAGACATGAGAGACTATAAAATGGAGAAAAACAAAAACGAGAAGAAAAAAGATGAATAAATAAAAATTAGAAAGAAAGAAGAAAAGAAAAACTCCCAGGTATCCTTCCAGTGCAGCTGTGAGGTCTGGGGAAGTTGCCTCCAGGCTGTGAAGTACAGCCTGGCTAGAAGGGGTAGAGGTGTCACTCAGCCCCAGGTATTCAGGGGACAGGAAGAGAAGGAAAGTATAGAGAGATGAAAAACTGAGTAAAGCAGAAAGACAAAAAGAGAAAAAGAGGGAAAACAAAACAAAACAAATAATAAAAAAAAGAACAAGAAAAACCCCCAAAGAAAAACAGAAGAAAAAAAAAAGCCTAAGAAAAAAGAAATGCCATTGAGGCATCTGTACTAACTGAGGGGGTAGATCCCAAGCTGCTCAGTACTCCCTGACTAGAACAGGCTCCCAATTCGAAAAAAGAAAAAGAAAACAAACAATTTAAAGCAAACAAACAAAAAAAAGCCCCGGGATCCCACCAGTGTGGCAGCACGAGCCAGGAAGCAGTTTCACATTTGAGTAGCGTTTCACAGCCTTTCAGGAAGAAGCAAACATGGCGCATGGAGCCAGGTATTTGAAAGAAAGGAGGGGGAGGGGGTGAGAGGTAAGGAAGAAATCTAAAGAAGCGGAAAAAAGCAGCACCAGCAGCCAACAAATGGTACTTAGGGAGCTGGCAAGTGTGGGTGGGTAGAACGCAAGTGACACCAGGGTGAAGGTAGTACTTCTGGGCCAAGACGCTGGCCACAGGAAGCAGAGGAGGCCGAGTGGGGGTGAAGAAGGGTAGGGGTTGGGAAAGCGTATATCGCTGGTTACCGGTTGTTCTGTCTCCTGCTGGAAACTCCGTGAAGCTGCTTTCTTGTACCTCCTGTTCGCTGATCTCTGATAGAAGTCCAAGATGGCAGATCCATGCTGTGTTAGCTGATAGGGGACCTCTGCATATATCCCTCCTTGCTCTCTGTTCTCTGTCAGTTTCTTATTCCATTCAGTGCTTGGCTGAGTTCTCTATCTCTTCACTTGATGCTTAGGGTTTCAGGATTGCTGTTTTCTCTGTTTGGCTCAGTTTTTTGGATCTTTGCTGTGGAGGGATGGCGTGGTGCTTCTGCCTATGGCGACATGTTGCCTGGAAGTCCTGTACGTTTACCTTTCTGTACCTTAATTTCCCCATCTGTAAAAGGTACTATTTCAGAGTGCTGTGAGGATTAAATGACGTTCCCTGTTTTTATCAACTCCTCAGAAAGCCCAGAATACACGTTGATAGCATCCCCTCTTCTGGTGAGGAGTCAGGTGAATTTTTTTTTAAATAAACAATGACTTTTCCTAATTAGTAGTCTTTTTGACTAACTATTTTCCTTGACTTATATTCTATGACTTACTTACTTCATCTCTGCTCCATGTTCTCCGCCTTGTGATCGTTAAGTGATCGGGGGTCTCTGCTGGTTGAGGTCTTGGATCACCAGACCGACAGTTGTTTCCTTCTGGTGGTTTAGAATGAACTAATGGAGGGATCTTTCGGAAGTTGAGACTTTCATCAAAAACACGATCAACCAACTAATGGGACAAAAGCAAATCCTTATGAGAACAGAGCAATTTGGAAAAGTACAGACAATGGTATTATAATTTTTATGATTAGACAGATGTTATTCCATTCTCAAGTACTAATAGAAGCATGATATCTTCAATAAACCAATTAGTCTTTCTTTTTTAAGTACTTCAATGGTATCTGCTTTATAAAGTATGTTTGTCTACATAGATTTTATTTTTATAATCCAAAATATATAGCTGTTAAATTAGACTCTTCCATGGATAGGATTTCCCCCTCTATGGAAAATAGATGGTAAACAGAAAAAAACTGAGCCATGTAGATGGACTATGAGTTCATTTTGGTCACACTGCCTTACCAGTATAAAATAATCTTTCTTTTTCTTTTAGTTTCCTATCTTGTTTTTTCCCTTATTCCTTCCCCCCTGCCCAAATTCAGGTGCCAAATTTCTTCACAAGATAAATAAATTGCAATAAAGTTTACAAAGGAAAAACATTTTAAAAAGCCACAAAATAAGTATTTCAATCCTTGTCAGATAAATTTCTAAAAATGCTAAAAAAATTACATATTCCTATAAAAATGATATACTGCCATCTACAGTACAAATTATACAAATACAATAAAAAGTAACTCAGGTTTACTGAAGAGGGAATAAATTCTAGTATGATAATTTAAAATAAAACAAAAAAAGGAAAAATGGAAGTATATTCAGTGAAATATCTGAATAATTTTACTATGTCTGAGTGAAAGTATAATCATGTTAGGTAAAATTCAGTTAGAAAGCTTAGGAAATAATATCTTTATCATTTTAAATGTGCCAGAAGAATTGTGTATGTCTTGCCACCAAGAAGATCCTTTTGTTCTTCATCAATAAGGATGATTTTATTACATTTACAATTGATCAATGTGGTAACAAAACTCTACACAAACAGACCGACAAAACATAATTTATGCAAATTAGATAGCAAATGAAAAAAAAAGATCAAACTAAAATAAAGTGACCATTAAAGAACTAGATTAAAAAAGGAATGTGACAAAAAGCAATGAAAGAAAATATTATCAGCACAGGTTACAAGAATTAAATGTGTCAAAAAGGCTACCCATTTTTGGCTACTATTTAGAACATTATTTTATAATATTACCGAAGTAGAATCATCTATATTGGGCTGGTAAATTTTTCTGTAAAGCACCAGATTATAAATATTTTAAGCTTTATGGCCATATAGCCTCTGTCTCGATTATTCAACTGTGCCACTGCACAAAAGCATCCATATTGTTGTTAGGTGCTGTCGAGTCGATTTCAACTCACAGCGACCCCAAGTGCCATAGACAACAAATGAATACGGCTGTGTTCCAATCAAACTTTATTTATGGAGACTGAAATTTGAATTTCATATCACAAAATATTATTATTCTTCTTTCAATTTTTTTCCCGTTTAAAAATGTAAAAACCATTCCTAGCTTTTGGGTCATAAAAAAACAGGTGGTGGGCCATAGGTTGCTGACTCCTGAACCTCAGAAATTCATTCTTTCAAATGCCAATCCTTTGCTTGGACTTCTGCTCCACATCAAGATGGCTAACATGGCCAGAGAGTACCATTCATTTTGTATTGTATGTTAAAGGCACCTTCTGGGGCAATGTTATGTAAATAGTGCCCCCTGGAGTTGTACAATAGGAAGCCCTGCTTTTCCATGGGCAACAGTCTATGTATGCTAACTTAAGTTCCAGAGTTTACAAGAATACTTGAAACTAAATAGATACGTATTTGTGCGTGTGTATATTTCAGTTTTCAAAGCATCCTTGTGTATATACGTGCATACATATATAAATCATCAACAAGATTATTTGAAATAGTGAATACTGTAGAATTTTTTTATTTCTTTACTATTAGATATATTTCCTAGTTACCAAGGTATGAAAATCTCTTCTTAATTGTGGTATTTTCATAGCCAAACTTTACACAACCATTTATTAAATTCTGGTTTGCTTTTCAGATACCATTTATATTCATATTTTAAGTGAAACCATGGACCCATAATTAGTAGACAAAGTACTCATTCTAAATAATTTTACAGTCTCATGTTAATTAATAGTAGATCAAATGTTAGCCTTTACTAGTTTTGTTACACAAAAGAAACTTGTTAAAGCAAAGTTGGAAAATGCAGTGCTTCATGCAAACAGGGAGGGTGGACATAACTAAAATAAACTAAGCAAAAAGCTAAAAGCAAAAGAAATAAAGAAAAGAAAGAACCTTATGCATTTCTCCATGAAGATCTCCTACCTCTTCTCTAGTGTCTATGGCAGAGCCAGGGGTGGTGGCAGCAGTGCTTACTGTGGTACTAGGGGCAGTGCCTGATGAAGTCACTGAATCTATCTCTCCTGCTACATCGTTGATTTCCCGAGCAATGAGAGCAAGATCTTGGCTGATCCTGGTAATAATTTTAGAAAAGAAGTTTAATCCCTTTTAAATTACAGCTCTAGAAAAAAATCATTTATGACAGAATCAGTTACATAAGTTGTATATCAAATTAAAGAAGTCTGTACCCAAAACGTAAGATTCTTTGGAAATGCTATTAACTATTTTGATACTCAAAGTCTTAAACTTTAATCACACAAATTAATATCAATGAAGCTAAATTCCAAATAATCTACGAGATACCACCTTAAAAAATATTTTTTAAACACCCTGAAATAGTGCTATGTCATATTTTAGAATACATTGTTAGTGTGACTGATCAGCATTTATATATTACAGGGGTTCTTAAACATGCAGGTGGCGATGGATAGAACTCGACGGGGCCGGGGGGAGTCAATGAATTTGGATGAGAAAAATAAATCACAACTTTATTTTCACCTCTAACTGAAGTTTAGCATTTCTTTCAATTATAAATATAGACAATCAACCATACTAGTATTAGGAATACTGGTGACTTCTGTCACCAACAGAAATCACATGAGTGCGAGTATTTCAAAATATCACTTACACTCATTGCTACTTTAAAATTACTGCAGTCACTAAACCCACAGCAATGTTTTATTTACATGTTAATAAAGAACCACATATTACTATAGCACTTTAAAAATATTTTGATGACTGTATTTCAACATAATTGAATTCCTTTGTAATCCTTAATTATTTTATGTTTATGCATTTAGAAACGTTATTCTGAGAAAGGAGTCCAAAAAGCTTCACCAGACTGAAGATACCAAGAAAGTTAAGAACTCAAAAGTTAAGAACTCTTAACACAGCGCTTTATACTATGCAAAGCACTTTGTAATACACAATTGAGGCTCACAAGGTTTTCGTGAGGCAGGATTTAGCTTACTGATTTTTTAAACGAGGACACATTCTCAGAGAAGCTGAGTGACTTGCCAATAGTCACACAACTTAAAAGTCGCTAAGGCAGGACCAGATCCCAAGTTTACATCTAATTTCCATGAAGTCTTCTGTATGAACTGCTGACCTCTCAGTTAGCAGCCAAGTGCTTAACCACTGGGCTATTTTACAGGAGATCTATACACTAGCATACAGAGGGGGGAAAACCCTCAAGTTAAAAAAGTACCCAGATGTGGCTTTTATGGTCATAAAACTGTAATTTTTAACAACTTGCTTGGCTAATAAGTACTAATAAATACATGTTCCCCTGAAGCCTTTTCTTAGTTTAGGTCCATCAATTTGGGATTATTTTTCTCAGCTGTTAAAAATAGTGACCATACGCACATTTAAACTACTACTCTGCTACTTAACTAGATCTCTTTCTTCTTTATTAGAAATCACAGTTTTAATAAGGCCTTTGACTTATTGTGAAGCTACTCTTAACTTCAGCTCTTCATGACATTCCTTTCGTACAGGAGACGTGTTATCACTGTGAATAGCTGAAGTGAAACCTACCAAATTCATTTTCAGTTTTCCTAGAAATGAGATTCAGCCTGATTTCTGTATTTTAAACCCTGATGTTTAAAATGAGCTAAACTATTTTGTAATAAAATCAACATATGCAGGTGTGAATATAAATAAGACTGACTTCATACATGGTTCTGAAATGTTTCATTACTGGATGATCATATCTTATATAGCAAACAATGTGATTATAAGACACAGAACTTCTCATGCCCTATCTTCTTTCCAAAAAACAAATTGTAGCTTCGTAATAATGGGTCTATGACAAGGAATTTACATGTAAAAAGATTTTAGGGTTTGATTTAAAAAATTTGAATTTGGATGCTCAGCAAGAGAAGAATGAATAAACAAACTGCAGTACGCATACACAATGGAATACTATGCAGTCATAAAGAATAATGATGAGTTCTCAAAATACACTATAATGTGGATGAATCTGGAAGACATGACGCTGAGTGAAATAAGTCAATCGCAAAGGGATAAATACTGTATGATCTCACTATTATAAAAAGACAAGAATAGGTATACACACAGAAAGCAACATTCTTACGTGGTTACCAAGGATGCGAGGGAGAGGGAGGGGAAATCACCTTCTAGACAGTAGACACTTGTTAGTTTTGGTGATGGGTAAGGCAATACCGAATAAGGGTGAAGTCAGCACAACTTGACCAAGGTAAAAGATGACACTAAGAATAAGGGACGATTTTGATAAAAGCCACAACATACATAATTCTACAACAATGTAATAACAAACAAAAATGTATGTGGTTACATAGGTAGATATGTACGCTTATATATGTAATATATGAATACATGGGTGTGCATGTATATGTGTTTCTGTAGGCAAATGTATATACGTTCGTGTGCGCTGCACATATATTCAAATAAAATAAAGCACATAGGGGGCAGAGTTATGGATACTTCCTAGACATAACCAAACACCTCACATGATTGGGTTACTGGCATGAGGGCTTAGGACCATAGTCTTGGGGAACAACTCGGTCAATTGTCATAACATAGCTCATAAAGATAATGTTCTACATCCTGGTTTAGTGAGCAGCGTCTGGGGTCTTAAAAGCTTGCAAGCAGCCATCTAAAATACAACTATTGGTCCCTTTTGTCTGAAGTAAAAGAGAAAGAAGAAAACCAAAAGACTCAAAGAAAAACTAGTTCACAGGACTAACAGTCTACACAAATTACGGCCTCACCTACTTTGAGACCAGAAGAACTAGATGGTGCCCAACTACCACTACTGACTGTTCCAACCAGGGACACAACAGATGGTCCCAGATGGAGTGGGAGAAAAACGTAGAACAAAACTCACATTCCTAAAAAAAGGCCAGACTTACTGGACCAGTAGAGACTAGAGAACCCCCGGAGACTACTGCCCTGGGATACCCTTTAAACTTGCAACTCAAACCACTCTTAGTGGTCACTTACAGCCAAAACACAGAGTGGCTCAAAAATAAATAACATCACCCATGAATACTGTGCTCCTCCAAACAATCATCTAAATGAGACCTAACAGTCAACATTTACCCTAGACCAAAGATGAGAAGATAAGGGAGGACAAGGAAGCTGGATTAATGGAAACAGAACAACCAGAATGGAAATAATGAGAATGTTGACACATTGTGGAAGGTATAACCAATGTCACTGAAAAATATGTACAGACATTGTTAAATGAGAACCCAATTTGCTATGAAAATATTTTCCAAATCACAGTTTTGTTTTGTTTTTTAATTTTAATTTGGAGTCTTAGGTATTTAAACTATTCAAGCATTGATAATGAGTTGTGAATGGACACTTAAAAAAAATACCGAAAGGAGACAAAGACAAATTTGGAGAGAATCCAGGCTTCATTTACTATACAACATTATTTCACATCTACAAAGCCATGGTTATGGATGGTTCTATACTCTGACACTATAATGAAGAATCAGACGAAGTCCAGCCCTCCTGAGGCTGAGAGGTTAATTCACGTATTAGACCTAAGTACACACTAGAGGGAGGATTTAAAAAAAAAAAAGTTTATTATTGATAAGGAAAGCTTTTCCTCTTCCTTTGGTGGAAACTGTCAGTTGATTACATGTTGGTAGCATTTTGATCCAACGTTGGAAAATCTTAATAAAAAAGAATTCTGGCAAACCACATGTCGTTAACTTTTCATGAAAGCACAGAGAATTGGAAGAAATAGGCAAACTGGATCACAAAAGACTGGTTTAGGGTGGGATAGTAATACGTTGAAATCAGAGGTTTCTCTTGAGCAGCAAGAAAAAATCAGTGGCCCAAACAGAGGAGTGGAGTTTGAATCAAGGGACATCGAGTCTATTTCTGGACATGAAAAGAAGTAGGGATTTAATTAAAAGAATAAAAAGGTACCTCCCATTATTGTCAACAATGCAAGTCCAAAAGCTAGCTTAGCACCACAGATGAGTTATATTTGGCAAAATGTAGAAAAAGTCTTATAACTAGATTTATGAATATGTTTCAGATAAACTGAGCAAGTCATCAACAAAGAGGTAATGGTAAAATATCACTCTGAAGATCTAGTACACTGCTGTCCATCAATAAACATTTGCTAAATAAATGGGGGGGGGGGGGACACACCACTTCCACCAGAAACAAATACTTGCAAATTAAAAGATGAAGATGGCCTGAAGTCATCTGATAGGAAAATGCTGTCCTTATTCAATGAGTAATATCTGAGATAGCCACAGTGCTCGCATAAAAGTAGTGCAAGGTGCTTTTTACGAAGATGGTGCTGAAAGAGAAAAAAGAAGCCTCTGCTCCTTCCAAAACTGAAGCCAAAGCAAAGGCGTTGAAGGCCAAGAAGGCAGTGCTGAAAGGTGTCCACAGCCACAAAAAAACGATCCGCACTTCACCCACCTTCCAGTGGCCCAAGATACTAAGGCTGTGAAAGCAGCCCAAATATCCTTGGAAGAGCACCTCCAGGAGAAACAAGCTTGACCACTATGCAGTCATCAAGTTCCCCCTGACCGCTAAGTCAGACATGAAGAAAACAGAAGATAACAATACACTGTGTTCACTGCAGATGTCAAGGCCAACAAGTACCAGATCAAACAGGCTGTGAAGAAGCTCTATGACATTGATGTAGCCAAGGTCAACACCTTGATCAGACCTGATGGAAAGAAGGCATGTTGTCGACTGGCTCCTGACTATGACGCTCTGGATATTTCCAACAAAATTGGGATCATTTAAACTGAGTCCAGCTGGCTAATTCTAAATATAAATTTTTTCACCACATAAAAAAAAGAGTAGTGCAAGGCACCCCCAAGTCAGAAAATAGGACCAAGGGATAGTAAAGTTCAAGGAAATGTTGAACAACTATACAGAAACCAAAGAATAATTTTCACGTGAACCTGTGGGCAGATGTTTTATCCCCTTATTCTTGCTGTTTGGATCTGGCCTAGCCCAAGAGAAAAACAGAAAGAAGACAGGCCTAGACTTAGCCATTATGAACCACTAGATTAGGTCTCACAACTGATTTAGCAGTGTCATGGATTC